AATATTTTATAATCCGTAAAAAAACCAAATTCAAAAAAAGTTAAAAAATAAATAAATCACCCATGAAAATAAACAAATAAAACTAAAAATGTTGATATAAAATAATTTAAAAATTCTTTTTTATCTTAGTTATTTTTCTTATTTGATTTCCAAGTAATTTTTAAATGTTATCACGTAAATAGTTTTTTTTATTCATGTATGACGTAATTTTTTACTACTTCACTACTCCTTTTTTAAAAAAAAATTGAATTAATTACTCATTTTTCTATTTAAATTTTGCAGTTTTATAAATATTTTATAATATGTGAAAAAGAACAAAACTGAAAAATGCAAGACCACAAAAAGAGAAATCTCATCGTTATTAAGTTGTTTTGACTATTTTTATTATATATAATATTTTTTTCATTTAAGTTTGTCAAATATTTCCAAATAATAAGTTTCTTTTTTCTATTCCTAATTGAATTAGGTTATTCTTTTTTTATGTATATACTCGTATATCTATTTCTTTCACATAATTGATTACTAAATTTTGCAAAAAACGACTGATATACAAAGTTTTAGTTTGTAATTTGTAGGAAGCGAATGAAAATACTATAATTAGATCGTCGTAATCTATCTCACCTATCGAATAAGAGGATAATTGATGTTAATTTCTAGAAAAATTTTAGAGAAATTTCAAAAAATACCACTTTTCAAGTGCCATTTTACAAAAATGCCACACTTTTTAAATCTTTACAAAAATGCCACTTTTTCAAAATAATTTTTTTTATATTATTTATGTTTGGGTTAATTATGTTCTATTAGGGTTTAGTTTTGAGTGTTTAGGGAGTTTTAGGTGTCAAAAAAATTTTTAGGGTTTAAAATTTTAAGATATAGGCTTTATAAATCTATAATTAGTGGCATTTTTGTAAATGGACACCCCTAAGTGGCATTTTTGCAAATGTGTATACAAAAAGTGGCATTTTTGTAATTGCCACAATTAGATCGTCGTAATCAATCTCACCTATCGAATAAGAGGATAATTGATGTTAATTTCTAGAAAAATTTTAAGAAATGCCACTTTTCAAAAATGTCATCTTTTCAAAATCTTTGCAAAAATGCCATTTTTTCAAAATTATTTTTCATTATATCATTTATGTTTGGGTTAACTATGTTGTATTAGGCTTTAGTTTCGAGGGTTTAAAGGGTTTTATGGGTCAAAACATTTTTGGAGAAATTGCAAAAATGTCACTTTTAGTGTACATTTGCAAAAATGCCACTTAGGGGTGTGCATTTACAAAAATTGCCACTAATTATGAATTTTTAAAGCTTAAATCTTAAAATTATAAACCCTAAAAAAGTTTTTGACCCCTAAAACCCTCAAAACTAAACCCTAATACAACATAGTTAACCCAAATATAATTGATATAATGAAAACAGAATTTCTGAAAAAGTGGCATTTTTGTAAAATTTTTAAAAATGTGGCATTTTTGAAAAGTGGC